AATTCCATATTAACAACAAAAGACAAAATAAAATTCTTATATGCAGCAAAGGCAAAAACAAAAATAAAAGTGAAAATGAAGTAATTAAGTGGAAGAATTGAAATAGTACATAGCGAACCGTTCACCTCCCAACCCAGTCGTTGCAAGGTCTCCGTCGCAACGGCTGAGAGCGTAGCCGCAGCGGGATGGCACCGCACTTCCTTTTCTCCACGAGCCAGCATCGATTTGCTCGAGAACCTTCGCCAACCAATAAACATCTCAGTACTGAAGCACTGTATTTTCATTACAACTGGGTAGTATTCCATATTACACTCTAAATGAGTCGTCACGAATTGTAAATATTTGATCCCTCCGGGATCAGAGCCCCGGTCCCCGGTCCTTGTTATCCAGACACGCTCTCTTGAGATACAGAATCAAACATTCGTGACAATTTAACCATCGTACAGCGATCGGCGATCTCTTACTCGATGCAATTGCCCCGAAGGGTAGCGAACGAAGTGAATGGTTCGCGCATTGTACGCTACCAACAGGAGGAGACGGGTTTTGTCATTACACACAATCTGTTACCAACAGAGTGGATCAGTGCTAATGCATCTCATAATGCGTTTGGCTATAATCCATATTCAGTAGGAGTATGTGGTACATTAGCAATGTTTCACCAATTTGGCAACAAATGTTTCTAAATTATACAATGTATACGTGGAGTATACGATGTTCAAGAGTTGGAGAATGTGTTTATTATGATTTGAAGTATCAAATTTTGAGACCTCAAAAGAAAAAAGTCCACACGCATTAGAGTGTGCAATTTTCAACGAATAGAGTGGTGCACAAGTGGAATGATCTACCATCTTCATGTGTGGACACAGATAGTGTGAAATCTCTTTAACGTATTAATGAATTTTATAGTATACTGTTCTGAAATTAAATCAGATGTAAATTTGAACCTGGAATATTCTTATTAACCTACAATTGTGTGTACTATCAGCTATGGATGCCGTCATAATGAAATTATTATTATCATTATCATGGACAACTGCGTTAGGTTCGATTGTTACCCTATAATGCGCTAGTCATTCCGTTTCGAAAAATTACACCCTTCAAGATAGGTGTACCGTATATTTCATGTTTTCATCAGTAGGGATGAAATTTATATCACTAATATCGAATATGTTTTCATATAGACAATACAAAACTTCGAAAATGTGCACTAAATTATGCACTATAAAACAGCATTAACCCTTCATAACTTTACACACACTACATATATACGGCAATTGACTCTTATCTCTTATGTTAGGGTAATGAAGTAACATACGTATCATGTAGCAAAGTTGCAAAGAGTGTTTCGTACTGCTCCGGCATTCGCCTGATGTTTATAAGAAAAACACAGAAAACTACCGATCAGAGCAGCCAGCCCATAGAATTCTCTTCCACACGGGCTGAATTCGTCCTAGGTACATATACTGCGATTTATGCATGTCAGCCCCTGACAGGTATCAGCTGTCGACTGTTTCATCCAATCGGAAGCTTGAACGTCACCATAGTGACGTCGCTATAGTAATGGTCAAGCTACCGATTGAATGAATCTCTCAACAGCTGATACCTGCCAGAGACAGAGTTGCGAAATTCCCAGTATAGCTAGTGTCGAAAATCCTACCACCGTCGGGACTCTTTAACGAGCTCCCAGTCATAGGCATTGCACTAACTTCAACTGACGCCACAAGCCACCTAAGACAAGACAAGACAAGACAAGACAAGACAAGACAAGACCAAAAAAAAAAAAAAAGAAAAAAAAAAAAAAAAAAAAAAAAAGCAGAATGTTGTTTTTATATCACCATATGCTGCATCAGAATTTCTCGTGGGTGGCGTGGCCTTCTGGGGGATGGGGGGGGATTTTTAGCGACGCATCTAATGGAGTAAAACCTAATCAGCCTTCAGTAGCAGCCGAGGCAGGGAAGCATCAGGACATTGTCCTCAGACTTTTGTGAGAAATTAACTATTTGCTTTTGTTATATCAGGCTCAAATACTTAGATCTAAAGACTGTAAAATGTGACTGACAAGCTAACGCACAATTTGCAATCATGAATCTTAAAGATTTTTGTTTGAGTTATTTGCCAGAGTATCGAAAAGTTTCTATTGAAACTGCAATACTGTTAGTGCAGTTTTTATCAACATTTCTCTGATGGGAATCTGAGCTTTCTATGCTATTTCTCTTGCTTATGTCAAATCTTAAATATCGTTAAAGATTGGACATTTAAAGTGATTTCAGATGTACAATTGAGGGTGACAGCGCAATAGTGGCCTCTCCCACATTTTTAGGAAATTGCGTTCTCTGTGTTAATCACATCTTAATCTCCCTAACTTCAACGTATAACAGTTTCAGCATGTTTGCGTCTATAGTTTTCAAGTTATAATTACAAAAAGAACTATTGCACTCAGCTTACGATTACATTTCTTGGTGCAATTGTGGCCTAAGCATAGGCGATGCTGTTTTACACAAGATGTAATCCACCACAAATGTTTAGTCAGTGGTCATTCTTACATAATATCATAATATGAAAACACTTACAAATGAGTGTTTAATTTTGCCAATAACTTCATCAGGCATTTTCTCCAAACACAGGATCTGGGGATAGGCCACTATTGCACTGACACCCTCAATTATCACAATGAACTACATATACAGGAAAACATGTAAAGACAAACAGTGCCATTGATGTTATGTTACAAGAAAAAAGTGACTGTTCAATAATATATACAATAAAACTATACAAACCACATTTAAAGCTAATCATTTTAACCTGAATGAATGACTTAAGTTTCCCTTCCTCTACAATATACAATATATAATGGGGAGGAGTGACCTCAATCAAGTGACCGGGTTGAAGCTCTAGAAGGTTGACAACTGCTGTGCTACATAATAGAATGGTTAATTACATTGTAAACTACCATGTATATTCTTCATTTTAAACAGTGTAATTTTAAAAACAGCTTTCCTATAGTCCATTCGAAATGATACGAATGATACATCTTCACCATAGTTTTTTGTATTATTAACAGTTCAAGAATTCAGATCTTGTATTCAATGAAGTACAAGTTGATGGTGCCACCTCTCGTGTTTAAGAAACTGCAAAATAGGTGATTCAAACTCTGTCCTATTGCATATCTAGATGCTGCCACTTGGGGCCAACGTTTCTTTTTCCACTGGTAAGCAGATTCAGTTAATAGAACATAATTTTTGCAATTCACTTTGATAATTCAGATGATACTTTCAAATTTCATCACTAAGATTGCCTTTTACATTTCCATGCATCAGAATTTATTTTCATGATTATTTAGAATAACCAACTAATCCCTTTACATATCCCCTCTGAACACTTTATTTTTGTGACATCTTTGTTTTGACTTCAAGTAATATTTTTGAACATTACAATATATTTGCATTTGTTATATGCAGATAATTTCTTCAAAGCATTCTAATTTTTGTTTCTGTGCTCATCTTTATTGGAATGAATTTAAAAGTATCACAAGGATCAACTATGACCCATTTAAACATGTTTCTCTAGTATCATACAATTTGATCAGTTTAATTGTTAATTGACACTAAAAAACAGTACACATTCATACCTCACAAAGGACCCACTTTTTATCTTATAGATTAGAATTAATTACACAAAACTCTTGGCTTAAGAAATTTTGCAATTACATTACAAATCACATAAGACATTAAAGAAATATTGAGTAATGTAAAGGAAACAAATACTTGGTGTAAGCATATAGATTACTTATCTATTTGATAAAGAACATCACCTCTGAAGGGATGGCTCAAATTTCAGTTTTCAAGAAAATCTCTGTTCAAGTAGACAATACAATACTTTAAGAAACAGCACAACAGAAAATGAAGAAATTCTAGAGTATATTTTCTCATTAAAAATGAAATGATATTTCAAATTAATTGTACACAAAATGAGATACAAAAACAAAATATTACTACGGAAAAAGCTATAGCTGAATTACAACAATCAATTTGCAAAGCAGTAAAAAATTAAAAGACAAAGAATTCCAAGAAAAGAGAAAAATTTTAACTGAATATTTTTAAACAGCATATCTCAATGAATATGAACTACCTGCCTTATTAAACAAATCTCAAAAGTAAAAGAAACAGGAACATAAGTAATTCAATACAAAAACATTAAACCCTTGCAATTAAAACCATGTAATAAATAAATCTTGATAAAGCATACACATTTCCTGCCAAAGAACTGATATTAATCTAATGTACAGATGTGGAAAGAAATAGATTTGTTTATGAAAATACATACTGAGCCAACTATAAAAAAGACACCAATTGTTATGTACTTACAATAAAAATTAACATACAGAAAAAATTGAGTAAAACTGTAACCTACATGAATCTTTGTAGCATAACTATTACAAATTGCTGCTGATAAAAAGTTTTTATTTTCTTTTTTATTATGTCATTTCATTCACTTTCATAAGAGTTTCTAGGCATCCACAATCTACATATTACATGCCTTTATATTTTGTTTAATTTGTATTGATGAATGTAAGCATATTTATCATCCATAATGCCAAAGTCATTAAAGATTTAAGAAATAAAAAAATACAATTCTGTTGAGATTGTTCCTATTATTTTTATCAGTACCATTTTGAGGTTACTGATTTCATATTTTATGAAGTACTGGAAGGATAAGGATAAAAATACAATGAATTTAATATTATGAAATCTAGTTTGTATGGTATCTTAGATCTAATTAGCCCAAATCTAATGTTCAAGAAAAATCACAATTGTCAGGCATAATCTTTTAAACATAGAATCTCTTTAGAAACGTTCATCAATAATTTGCTTTTCATAGTAATTTCAATTCCTTACTTCGTAAGTTTAATTAAATTCAAAGTCACAAATACGTGACACGGTACAATAAATCATTATATTTGATGCATATCTTTTTATTTTCAAAATAGAATTGAAATCACGCTTCGCGATTGCTGGCTGTAATGTATTAACATTCGATCGACAGAACACGACATCTCCAGACTTCAAATTTGGCGCACTACTTGATCAATAGTAAGGGCTTCTCGGAACTCGAACAAACAGTATGGCTGGCCCAGGTCGTACGTAATCCTCGTGATGCTACCATGGTAATTCGTGTAAAACAGATCTGAGCAGACAGCCACAAGAATTGAGTGGTGAAGAGATGCACATTTAGGAGAACACAGTCAATGAATCACTGGAACTTATGGAGTTTGAATCAAGAACATGCAGAACTAACCTTTCTGATCCTTTCAACTGAGAGTTGGATTTCACACGAAATGGTTTGCTGAACATATTAAATTGCTGGTGAGTACAGTGATGTAACTTTGACACAAATTTGTTCCAGATTCCACTAAACACACCGTTACGAATACAATAAAGTATTTTGTTCCAAAAGATCACTCGTCCAGTCTAATAATTTTGTCTAGCCGTACCGTACGTACACGAATATAAAGACACTTTCTCAAATTGCACCCGTCGAATTGAACGAATAAATTCGTTTCCACCTTCCGACACTTGTCTACCTTCTGCTCTTTCTACTCGGTCACTGATGTATTCGAATTTGAGTTCTCCGTTGTCTTAAATTCCAAGGAATATTTATTTACCCATAGTATATCGAGCTGAGCACGGCCCACTGGTGGGTTGACATTGCTGTCGTGTCCAGTAGTTCTCGTGAGTTCGTGTTATATCTATTCTACATGTTGATGGAGGGCGCATCACGGCTGCCTGTGTTTCGTTCCGATGACTTGTGTGGTGCATTTATGCTTTTAAGGTAACTGATACCGTAAGTTAAAAATCAGGATCTAAGATACCGGTTTATTATTAGTTTACTCCATTGTACAGTATTCTGTGCGTATACCCCTTGCGTGAATGGAACACGTTAACGCAATGCGGTGTTGTCAAGTATATAAGTATAACAGCTGATCCAGAGATGGTCGTACCGGTACCCGCGTATTCTAGTTACTTCTGCTCGGGTAAAAATATCGTCAAATATAAGGAAAATGAGATGTCGGAAAAGTTAGTCCATCAATTACTTTTATATCTTTATTTTTTATATGTATGCCCTCACAATGCTATAATAGATTTGTGGAAAGCAAATCTAAGGAGGCGAAAATATAAATATTGAAAATATTGTCCAAGATGTTTTTGAAAGTATTGATTAATAAGAAGCTTTCATTTTTCTGCATTTCTTAATATATAACTATGTAGATAATTCAAATTACATTGAAAGAAAAAAAGAAGGAATGGGTGCAATTTTCCATTAGAAAGTATAAATTGACTATCTAATAACCGTCATGGTACTCTTGTAGATTGGCTTCACCAGAAAATTAATATTATTTCTGTATTACAATCTTGATTTTTTACATTATAATTCTTACTATAGTCTCCTCTGTTGTGTTCATTGATTTCCTGTGTATGAATTTATGAAGAGCAAGAGAGTTCATTGAAAAATAAATTGGAAGAATCAAGCTTATTAAGTTTTGTATTGTTTTAATTGAGTAGCGGGAAATATATAATTTATTGCAGTTTGTAGTTGCTCTGACTTGAAGGTGATTGATAGACTTATTGAAAAGCCAAAAATCTGGCTTTTTTTTTATAAGATCCTATTTTTAGTTTCATTCAATAATAATTGGAGATTAAAACCTTTTTAAATGCTATAAGCATGTGTAAGTAGTAAGTAGGTCTTCAAATATTTCGCACCTATGAGAACAAGCAACTGCCATATGTTCAGTTATATTATGTTAATGTTTGACTTTTTTAGCATTAAAATCAAAATAAATTGTTTATTTCTTATAAACATTGCCTATGAGGGAAAATCCATTTAAAAATATTTTAAATAATTACAAAGCGATAAAAGGTTTAGTAATCCCAACTATTAAAATCAAATGTCCCTTGAATAAGTAACTTGAAAAACGAAGATAAATGCTCGTGTGTTATAGTATTATTTGTCTTTGTTTTGAATAATTTGTTGCTATGAGTGAATATGTGAAGATGTAGTGAATAATTGTTTTTAATAATTATCTTATTCATTTTGATTTAATATTCCAGATAATTGTTGTAGAAAACATATTGTAAAGTTGAAATGTTATTTTGGTGTATACATAACTTGCAAACAGGTGTTCCTTTGAAACAAATTTCTCTGCAAAATCACTGAAAAATGGACATAGTCCTTCAAGAAATGTGCATGTGAATTGTTCTGAAGAATAGAGTATATTGTTAATATTTTTGTTAGTGTATGAATGAGATTGTACACATGCATAATGTACTGGTTTTCGCTGTACATCTTGTTATTTGCCTTTGTTGAAGAGCATAATTTTATTTACTTCCTGATGTCAAACCAAACATGAGGGACTTAAAACTAAGGGATACAAGTGCCGAAAATTAAGTTTTGAGAAAACATGACGGGAAAATAAGCCAATATTTGGTTGAAATTTTGTTTTGGTGGTCCATTTCACTTGCTTTTTTTTTTTTATTTTGTGTGTGTGTAGCATGATTACTCAGAGTGCAGGTGTGGAGAGGGCAACATATTTGGAGATGTTATTGGCATAAATATACTTTGTTAATTTTGTATTGGCTGAACTCCAGGTGGCTTCATGTAAATTGTTGAAGCCGAGGACCAGAGTCTCACCATTGACATGGAACTGTGATTGCGAGACAAGGCAACTTGGCTGTAAAAGTATTTTGTAATTAAACTGTGCCGGAATTTTGCAGTTTCCAGAGTGAACGTTAATTTTGAATTACCTTACCAATATGACAAAGAACATGCACAATACAATAAAACGACAGCACTCACAAGCAATTTCGCTCAGCTAAAGTGAGGTTTTAACCCAGTTTTTCACTGGTTCTCTTCAAACTTTCCAAATGTCAGCACTGATCACTTGCATATTCTTACCTCTGGATTTTAACATCTGAGAAGTATACATTTTTTGTAATACATCATGAAATAATCTTTTCAACAAAATGCTTTGGAAGTCTTCAGTTTTTGACTCTTCATTTTTGTGAGAGGTGTTGTTTAGAACTGTAGCACAACTAGATTGAAATTAGATAATTTTACTTTGTATATTTCATGATGATCGGGATGAGTATTTATGCAACACTTTTTCTGTTGAAGAGATACTTTAAAATTAATTATTTCATTCTTTTGAGAATTAAGCTGAAGTGGATTTTAAGAGAAGTACTACATATTATTACAGAGACTAATTTTGACATGTAATTGAAGTTATTTATCTACAATAGCAATTGTGAACTAAAAACTAGAAAATGTACAAAGTTTGATTTGTTTAAATAATAATAACAACAACAACAGCAATCCCACATGTGATATGATGTACAGTTGTTTAATTATAACTTGTTTAAAACATCATCATTTCATGCCACCAACTACTCCACACTGATTATCTTAAGGAGATCCAACATCAATATGAGGAGAATCCAGAAATATAGAAAGTATATTTCCATTTTGCATAAACAAATCCTGACACCATAGATAAATGCTACTTTTCTTTCCTCTTGAATGTGTGGAAATTTGTTCTGAGATTAAAATGTGAAACCCTGAATTTGTTTCCTAGATTTTTTGTTTTATTCATGAATGTTATTTTCTTGTAAAAAGATATGTATTCTGTTTCGGAAATCACTTTGTTAATCTCTTATAGGAAGTTAGCATTGAAGGGATATGAGAAGGTAATGTCATGAAGTAATAGACGATTGATCTCATGTTAGAAGAAATGGAATTTTCTGATTATCTATGCTGTATACATTTGCAGTGAAGTGCAATGTTTAACATTAATTTCATGTGGAATAACTGAACATATTTCTGATGAAATGGAAATGGGAAGTTATCTTAGTAGCATCAGTATCTTCACTGGTCCACAATAACATTTAGAAATTGCATAATATGTGTAGCTATTAAATAACAATAAAGAAAAAACTCAAAATATGATTTTTGTGATAATCAACCATTTTTTGTTTGTGGATGTGCAAGATCAAATGTCTTTTTTTCTCCTCCATAAATAGTCCGTAAATTTCCCAGAATCTTTAGTGCAATGCATATTTTTATATATTGTAAATAATTGTATAAATAAATATAATCCAAAATTCTGTCTGCAACTGTTATAAGATGGAATCCATTGTTCAGCTGATACCAATGAATTGGGTATTTAATAGGTAAAATTTCCTTGAAACAGATCAATGTTAGACTACCTTAAATTTACTGCTTCTATTTCGTCAAGAAGGCTTGAGTGTCTTGCGACCTCTGCTTGTTTGCATGCTGGAGCTTCTGCAACGTTTGCTTCCGCCTTATTGACACGGGGCTGCCTGGGGACTCCCGAATCCTGAGTACTTCCACAAAACATTGAAACAGGAAATTGGTGTAAGTGACCAGAGGAGAAGGGAAAATTTTCCAGCCATATCGAAATGCCTTTTACCAGATTCTCGATCTGCCGTTCCCTTGTATTGCATTGTCTCATCTTATTTTATTAATTGGCTGATAGGCAACCGGTTTAAACAGTGCTGTTGAACGGGTTCCGTATTTTGCGCCGTTGCTTAACTGCAGGTCTAAAATGCAGTAAGGCTGGCGTAAGCTGAGGGCGTTAGTTGAAGTTATTGATAAAATAGCATATAAGTAAATATTTTAATGGATTATTGTGAGAGCAATCCCGTTATCTCGTAATACTATGCATGTGTGTGATAATGGAATTTCTATTTGTTGAAGAATGACTGAAAGTGTTTAAATAAAGCTTGTTTTCTCAAATAATAGCTAGTAGGAAAACCCCTGGCACGTGAAAATTCCCATCTTCATGCTGCTACAAAAGTATACAGTTATTTTTTATTGCGCTTTAATTATTATTAAGAACTTTCTCTTGGATTTCATTTTTGTTTCTTGTCTATTTCTTCAGCTCAAATTGACTTTCCTGTTAGGGATTTTGATGGCAAACTAACTAGCAAGTTCTGTAGATTCGTTCATTTATTATGTCTCAAGCTTACCCCGTGTACGTTACCGCCTTTGCACGAGGGATGAGACATGGAATTTTAAAAAAAATGCTGACTCAGACATGAATGTTGAATTTTATGATGTGGTGTACATACAAGGTTCTAAATTACTTAGTATTTCAAAGTAAATCATCAACAAATGCATAGAGAAAATTTGGAAATTAATCGGCCAGACGTATTGCGAAAGCATATTTCTGGATATTATAGCAATCGGATCCTACGTTGCAAATTCCCATTGTAGGTACATTGGAAATATCACTCATAGTCCAATGTTTTTGACCTAACTGGTTACACTCTATTGCTGCGTCTTTTTATCATATTGAGACGTCTGTATTGTAATACGATGGTTACTCACAAATCATGACATCTATTTTTCCCCGATATGCGGGTCAAGCAAGAAACGTTAAAATGTGCCATTGGAAGGTCACATCTGGAGATATCGAATGCTTACATTTTGAACAACAGATCTTTATCTGGTTTAGTGAAAGAGACAAAATAATCTACATCAATCTTTCGTTACACATGTGTTTATTTCTCTGACCATAACGTGTACTAACATATTATACACACATACGTATATCTGCAGTTCTTATGATTGAACAAGCAGCGTTATCTCAGCGGCAGGTTGCCTCCGCAGCGTCGTTGATCCGGGGTCCTCAGGCCGAGTGCCGACGGTGGCGGGTTTTCGACATTAGTTACAGAGCTGGTTCAAACTCGACTGTCTGGCGGAAGATTCTAGCTGTGGATTGTTCCGATTGGTAGTTTTTCGTGGCTTCTCCGATCAATATCAATCAATACTGGAGTGTGGCCTCAATAAACGGACAGCGAGTGATCTTTCCTGCCTCATCAGTGTCCCATTCACTACCCTTACACACACGTGCACTACACTACCCGTGCATCTCAAGTGGCCAGTCCGGCTTACCTCAGCAGGGGATGATAATTGGAGGTGAAAACCCTATATGCTTGTGTGTAGGTCGACGCCGGATCTCCACTTACAGCGGGATATGTACGCCACCACCTTCCGGGATGTAATTTGCATTATACCTACAGAACTAATGATTCAAGGAGTTGACACACCCGAAATCAATATTCACTCACTCACCAAATGATTGAAACAAGTGGTTGATCAGCTTACTGCGCGGAATACTCTTTCGGAAATTTGTTAAGAAGCACGTTGACAAAGCGATGCAAAGTGTGAAGAGTTTCATGGCGAGGCGTGCTTGTGATAGATTCTTCGAAAGACCGTAGATGCATACGTATGCGCACGTAAATTTACTATCTGTGCAATGGTTCCCATTTTTTTTCTCACAAGGCCCTTTTAAAATTACTTTCAATGGAGACAGATTCTATCGCATGTCTTACAATCTCAAAGTTAAGTTTTTAGGGCTAGAGTGCCTGGGGATTGAGTGATTGATGTTTCCGCGCACTGAACTGCTTTGTCCGTTAGCCTTTTATGTAGTGAATGTTTTTATGCCTGAGTGGCTCTCTCACTGGATGGTATGTGGCGCCGACCTGCATTCTCCTCCGGACAGCGACTGTATTCGACCTAGCTATAGCTATAGCTAATATGGAAAGTCGTCACCGTCGGGACTCGAACACTCTGACTTCGCGGTCAGAGTCGCTGCAGAGACGACAATGCTGGGTCAGAGCTAAATTCAGCCGGTAAATTACTTCGGACGGGGTTAGAATATAGGTAGAAAAGGAATGTATAGTAAAAAAAATTAAACAATTGTGCAATGTTCTTGCAATTATATTTTTGAAATAAGTCGCAATTTTGAATATTTTCACGGAACGGCATCGGAGCCTCCCGGAAGTGCACACAGCCCTACATCTCCGCGAAGCACAGATTGGGAACAGCTGAATTGCAAGTATAAGCACATTCTAAGCGAATGAAGTCTCTTATTTGGTCACTTTCCCTAACCTAATACAGATGTTCGTTTAAAATGCTTTCCATTAAACATTTATCTATATCGCTAATTTCCGATGTGCGCAGAAGTTGATAGGAAACTATCCAGCCCCCAGCCATGTAAAAGTTGTCTATGGTTTTGTTTGATGCCCAAGAACTCGGGGAAAATCAAAAAACTATGAAACAGTTTCGAATTTGACTCTAAAAGAAAATATTTTGTCGTGTTAATCAGCCTATTCTCATATAGCGCGCATCAACTTAATTTTCATACCCACTGCGTCATTGCTTTCGATGCAGATGACGCGATGCGACATCTAGGCTCCAAGGAAGAGATCGTCTGCAATTAAAGATTTACTATTCGCGTGTTGAGTTATAAAAAATACTCTTTTGGTATTCTTGGTACGTAAAGAATTGTTGTACCGTGTACAGCATGTCCCTTTTCGTGCGTAAAAAGCGCGCAGTTGGTGATCTATATAACAAAACAAAAACTTCCTTCGATAAAAACGTGTATTACACTTACGGGACTAATGCCCTTAGTTGACGCGCCCGCATAGCTAATCAATCAGTTCTCATCTGATCCTCATAATCGAAAAAAAGGTTACCTTACCTTTTTCAGTAATCCTCGAATTATCAAATTTTAGTATTCGCCGGGAAAATTATTTTTCGGCAATTAGCTTTCAATTTAAAGATTACGTCGCCGTCTCAATGTATTACCTCTTAGGTTAGGTTTGTTACTTGTTTACATTGTTGCTGTAGGAGTACTGAGAGTTCTGA